CTGTTTGTAAACGGAGCGTAAATGTGGAAGTCCTTCAAAGATTTCTTATCCTGTTGCGCCCTCTATAGGACCAGCGACTAGTCGACGTGAAGCTTAAAGCGTCATGGCAGAGCATTGAAGTCGACTAGTCAACTAGTCGGTGCAACCCCTAGCGCACGCCCAAAGACAGTTGGACATAGTGGTGTATTAGAGGTAAAAAATAATATACGTAAATACTGTTCGGTTTCTCGCACAAACCAATCGTTTCGTGGCTTAGGATATCAATGTGTCGTCACGAGCCGCAGGGTTTAATTTGGATTTGTCTGTGCATGTTTTTTTTACTCTCATAGATTTTGTTACCATTGCCATGCATTATACGACTGATAGACTGCAGCGGCTGGAGTTAAAAATCATAATTTGTGTTCTACTGAAGAAGCAAAGTCGCCTACATCTTGGATGCCCCGGGGGTAAGCAGATAAACATCAAATTTTCATTTTGTGGTGAACTATCCCTTTAACAGATACTGTTACCAGCGTAACAGCGTACTGTCGATCGCAGAGCGAAATCCGATCACACTTTACAGTGTGCACGTTGCGTTAAATTTGCATTTCCAGAAGGAAATAGCAGTGCTTTCAAGGCAGAAGTTTAAACTTGTTAAAGTTAGGTATAAGTTTTAGGCTTTGGTTCCGTGTAAATTTGATAACATTTTCTCAGCATGCTAATCACGACACTTTATGGACGATACAATAGATGCAAGAAAGAAAAGACCAATCATAATTCAGTATACAAATAAAATCAAGAAAGAAGGCCAGTCGCGATTCGTCATGCTAAATGACATCACTGTCATTTCCTTTTTGAAAGATGAATAATGTAAGTCAACAGGAAATGAAGTTGACCAATCGGCATTATGGTTAAAGTTTCATGCAACTGCCATCGCAACTTGTTAGGTCGTGCAGCTGACTAAAATTATTCACAAAACAAGTTTAACGTAAATTTGTCTTTAAATTAAGTGTTTAAAAATAATTTCACATTTTCTAAAAATGTTAATGATGCTTTACGAACCTCAAAACACTTGCAATTACAATGCTGAGGTCTTGTGTGTGGTTGCCAGGGTGTCCCTAGATATGGCTATAGGATTTTTTTATCATCCACCACATGATTTGAGCCATCATAGTGCAAACACTGTGTGATAAGTTACATGACCAAGTTTAACACTTAGAGGGCTTTACTATATGATCTGTCTATTCTTGCTTCCTAGTGTTCCAAACAGCACCGAAGCTGCAGGCCAGCAAAATGGAAAGCAGCATGCGGCATACTGTCGCTCGCTTCTGGAGTCAAAATCTGTCATTTGTCAAAGACTGTGTTTATGTGTTATGTCTTCCAAAAAAGCATCTGCGATGTCCCGGTGTAGCCAATGAGAGCTCGGCGCAAAGCAATTCTCACACGCTCGCTCGAAAGTAAATTAAAGTAGTTTTCGCTCCATGCCTCTCCCTTTGTTTCCTTTAATTACAGTTTGGTGGTTAATAAACTCCTTTCCTGCTGGTGCTTCATTAACCATTCTGATTGTTATGATAGCTTGTTTGTTTACTGTCTCCTTTTACCAAGTTGAG